ACACGACACACACACACACACACACACACACACACACACACACACACACACACACACACACACACACACACACACACACACACACACACACACACACACACACACACACACACACACATATATATATATATATACTAGCGGGATACCCGGCGTTGCCCGGGTAAATCAGTGTCGTTGGTGACCGCTTGGTTGAAAGGAAAATACTCATAAAAATCTAACCATCTATCTATCCATGCCTTCATGCATCCATCCCATCCTATTCCATGCCATCTCATCCCATCGCACCGCGTCCCATATCCCATCCCATGCCATGCCATCAGGAGTAAGACAATATAGGATCCTATATTATCTTACTCCTGATGCCATGACATATCATGCCATGCCATCCCATCCCATCGCACCGCATCCTATCCCATGCCATACCATGCCATGCCATGCCATGCCATCTCATGCCATCCCATGCCATCCCATCCCAAATAGTAAAAAAATAAGAAGAAATCAAAAGATAAAAGACATTAAATATAAAAAATTAAAATTAAAAATTAAAAAATTAAAAATAATACATACTAAAAAGGAAGGTAAAGGGGAAAAAAGGAAAAAAGGGGAAAAGCCCTGCTGTTCCCCAGCTGGGACTCGAAACCGGAATCCCGGTGTAGGAGACGGATGTTCTAGCAATTAGGCCACTGCGCCGTTAAGGGTATACCCCATGGATTCACACGTACGTGATATTAATGCCATCTCTTGATGAATAGAATTTTTATGAATTTTAAACTTTTAAACTTTTTTTCAATTTTTTTTTCAGCCAGAACCACCTCCCAGACGTGCTCCTTCTGAAAATATCTTTAGTTTTCCTCTAGGCTGCGGCGTTCTCTAGTTGTGCGAGTACGAACTAATTTGGCTGAACAACTTTATATATATAGATATATATATATATATGACAGAGGGATGGATGGGGCTAGATGGACAGACAGACGGGCGGTAGATAGATAGATAGATATAGATAGAGATATAGATATAAATAGATAGATAGATAGATAGATAGATAGATAGATAGATAGATAGATAGATAGATAGATAGATAGATAGATAGATGGATAGATAGTTGGATTGCTAGATAGAAAGTTAGATAGATAGATGAATAAAGAAAGAGAGCGAAAGTACGTGTGTTTGTGTCATCTTCGATTCATCGCGACACAGATAATCAAATATACGACGCTGCCGCAGCGCGTAGCCAGCAGCAGCAGCCGGGCTGCAGTTGTTTGCGTGGCCTGCATGCACACATCCCATTGATACATAACTGCTTACACGATGGATTCCCATAATAGGGCGACGAACATTGTTCGCAGCCCAGCTGCGCTTATGGATCTTCGCAGCCCCCGGTGCGAATGAAAGCAACCAGCATCCTGTATTATTATAAAAGCAGCAAACACAGTAAACGGCTATTCGCTGCGTGACAGCGCACGAACAGCGAGCCAGCAACAGCAGCAGCAGCAGCAGCAGCAGTAGCAGCAACATCATCAGCAGCAGTAGCAGTAGCAGTAGCAGCAGCAGCAGCAGCAGCAGCAATAGCAGTATCACACTATCAGTAGTAGTAGTAGTAGCAGCAGCAGCAGCAGCAGCAGCAGTAACAGCAGCAGCAACAGCAGCAGCAGCAATAGCAGTAACACCCTATCAGTAGTAGCAGCAGCAGCCGCAACAGCAGCAGCAGCAGCAGAAGTAGCAGTAGCAACAGCAGCAGCAGCAGCAGCAGCAGCAGCAATAGCAGTATCACCCTATCAGTATCACAGTATCGGTAGTAATAGTAGCAGCAGCAGCAGCAGCAGCAGCAGCAGCAGCAGCAGCAGCAGCAGCAGCAGCAGTAGTAGTAGCAGTAGCAGTAGCAGCAACTGTAGCAGCAGAGCAGTAGCAGTAGCAGCAACAGTAGCAGCCGTAGAGCAGCAGCAGCAGTAGCAGCAGTAGCAGCAGCAACCGCAGCAGCAGAAGCAGCAGATGCAGTAACAACAGCAGCAGCAGCAGTGACAGCAGCAGCAAAAGCAGCAGCAGCAGCAGTAACAGCAACAGCAACAGCAGCAGCAGCAGCAGCAGTAGCAGCAGCAGCAACAGCAGCAACATCAGCAGCAACAGCAGCAGCGGCGGCGGCAGCGGCAACAGCAGAGCAGCAGCAACAGCAGCAACATCAGCAGCAACAGCAGCAGCGGCGGCGGCAGCGGCAACAGCAGGCTGGGAGGAAGCGATCGTCGGCGCACCATGCACAACAGACTCGCTGCGTGCTTACACGGGGCGTAAACGACGCGTCGTCGGTCAACAAATAAAGCGTGTAGCTAGCTGGCGACTACACGCGCGTCTGCGCAAATATTGTTGCGCAGTCACTTTCAATAACCTCTCTCGCCAACTTCAATAACAACGCTAAAGATAGTTACTACGTGTATGGGATGTTACGCAACCAACGTTACAAGGTCCAGTGAAACTGCAAGCCAATGTTACCAACGAGTCATAACCACGAGTCATAACCACGAGTGTTACCCCGATGTCAAGAATTTCTATGAGTCTTTATCATCTTATATGAGTCTTAGTCCGTTTTATCAGTGCCGTAACTACATATCGCATATTGAATATCAGACGAACCCTACGCGATCGCATTTCGTGAGCAGCATAACATGCGCTATATAAATAAATAAAAAATAAGTAAAAATATATAGTTAGGTAGTCCTACATTTACAAAGAGCTATAGTAAAGTGAGTAGAAAATGCTCGCTGCTATACATACATACTCACGTCCATAACATGCGCAACATATATAAATAAATAAATAAATAAATAAATACTCACGTCCTTGTCGCCGGAGAGTAGCTGTGCGTCTGCACGTCTGTCCGTCAGCAGTAGAATGCCGACAAATATCGCGTACGTGCCTATCGTGTGAGTCGCCATACCGCTCTCTATATCTCTCTCTAATATCTCTCTATATTATTATATTATAATCAACCTCCCGCCAAATCCCACACTCACACGTGCTGTCGGGATCTTTACGTCTGCTGGTGACTCAGAGTTTTCACACACCCGCGGTAACAACCTATAGGCAGTTAGCAGTCGTTTACGTCTGCTGCGGGTTTTATCAATCGCACAGCAACAGGCTATGAGCTTATCGGAGACGCTACGTCTGCTGTCTAAAGTCTTATCAAATTCCACAGCAACGACGGGTCGTCGAAGCAACGTATTCGAACTGATAAGTTGACCGCTTCTCTCTGATCGCGTAGTGTGCTCGCAACGTCGTGCAGTGGACGGCCGTAGTCGCAGGCACTCACTGCTTCCGGATCGGATCGCTATGGCTATAACACGCGCTCCGTACACGAGACACTGCTATCCCGACCTGCTATGCCGGAGAGACGACGATATCACTGACGCTGTTCTGTTCGGTAGCGGGGCGGACGCGCGACTGTGTGTGTTCGCTGCCCGCTGTCGGTGGTGATTCTGCCCACCACTCCCACGCTAGCCGCGCGCTCCGTCAGTGGCACACGCACAGCCGCGGCGGCGCCCAATCGCCGTCTGCTTCCCTAGCGCCCTCTCCGAAACGTCGACGATGCTCATCGACAACTGCCATTCGCCGCCGGTGCGCGGTGTGCGGGGGTGGCAGTGGCTGCGAAGAGGGCGTGCTGGGACGGCGCGCACTGAGTTGGCACGGAGTTCGTCTACTCGTCGTACGTCACTCGGCGGCCGCGTTCACAGAGAAGAGCGCGCCGAGCATTTCACGGTGCGTTCCGTCGCTGCTTAGGAACCCCGTCTCTTCTTTGCTTTTCTCTTCACCTATCTCTCCTTCTCACTTTCTCTCGCTCTCTCTCTCGCCCTTACTCACTCACTTTCTCTATCTCGTGTGCTCTCTCTCTCTCTTCTCTCTCTCTCTCTTCTCTCTCTCTCTCTCTCTCCTCTCTCTCTCTCTCTCTCTCTCTCTCTCTCTCTCTCTCTCTCTCTCTCTCTTACTCACTCACTCTCTCTCTCCCCTCTCTCTCGCTCTTTCTGACTCTCTCTTCCTCTTTTTCTCTGCACTTCGGTGTCGAGTCGGTGACTGACTGAGACTCTATACTAGTTCTCTACGAGACTCTCTACATCTGTGTGTGTGGGGGGTATGTATGTGTGTGTGTGTGTGTGTGTGTGTGTGTGTGTGTGTGTGTGTGTGTGTGTGTTGTGGTGTGTGTGTGTGTGTGTTGTGTGTGTGTGTGTGTGTGTGTGTGTGTGTGATGTGTGTGTGTGTGTGTGTGTGTGTGTATCTGCGTGTGCGCCCACGCCTGTTACGTGCAGTATATGACATATGGTCCCGCGCCTAGGGCAGCACTCTGCTAGAGAAATCCAGGCAGAATACGTTCTGCCTTGGTTCTGCCTGACGTTCGCTACGGCCAGTCCGCCCAGGACCGCTAGCCTTTGATCGTAACCCATTGCGTTGCGCCGAACACCGCAATGAAAATACGTGAGCGTACCACGAACAAACAGCATCTTTTCAAATTTACGATAAACTTGAAGACGGGTAAACAAGCGCGCTGCAGGTGAGATGACCTCTGAAACACCGACGCGGGTCCGATCTGTCATATTCCGCCATATCAGTGCATTCGCATCAACTACTAAGTCTTCAAAAAGATACGCCCTGTACAGATCATTAGATATCAGGTGGATCATCATTATATAAATAAATCCTTCATAGATTGACATAGAGCATCCGTGTATAGACTTTATACGAATACAATCTCTGCATGGATTTTATATAGATCATGCATACGTAGGTTTTACATAATATAATATAAATATATATATATATAAATAGTCCCTGGATATATTTCATAGAGAACATTTCTAGCATCAAGGTCATTCTCACGCGTAGGTCAACATCGTCTGCCTTCTACGAAATTCACGCTGATTCACGCGTGAACGTCGATACTTTTCACACAGCGCTGCACATCTACGTCATCACACGACGTGAGAATGACTCATCCGCGATATTATTTACCTATACATGCGATGGTCCGCTGCATGCGGCCGACCGTATAAACGTCAACTACTTCATGCGGTGTGAGTGCCCGCTCGCATTCGACGCGCTCGATCGTATACCGGTCTAATAACCATCAGCTAGGCGCCGAGATATCTAATATCGTCATTGTGGCTTATAACCCACCGGCCTTCGTGATCGACCTGTGAGGCATGAGTTGAGAGAGTTGAGCATTGTGGGAGAGCTCGTGAGGGGCTGAGACAGCCGCAGCTGCGCATGCTGCCGGCAGTGAGGCGTGTAACGGCCCATTATGGCACCATCGCCGCGCCGCGCCCGACGCGCTGCCGGAGACAATAGTGTCACGAGTTGTCAAGTGTCGCGGTTTCACACGCGACGGGTGACACTGTAGTTGTCAACGAGTGGTCGGGACACCGACTACTGCCTAATTCTTTGCGCACATCTGTCGCGCATATTTCTTGATAACGCGCGTAATGTTGAATTTACTTTGGTGTAGAAAGTACAGTATTTACTGATGACTGTATATAGAAAGTAAACTCGCGTATTCATTAACCAATAGTGAGGTTCAATTTACTATTAGTTGGTATTGCGTTAATTACTTATATATAGTAAGTATCGTATTACTGTTTGATATCAACTATAATTCGATGATAACGCGTATATATAGTGCGAGTACGTATTGCATTTACGTATAATAAATATGCGCTTGCACCGCGATATGTTGATGTACAGTATTGATTAACAACCGTGTCACTCGGCTCACTCGCTTACGTATACGGGCTTTAGTAAGTTATGGGCTTTAGTAAGTTGCCCCCGAGCTTATACGCATCATCCGCTACAACCACCGCGTCTGCTTTCGTTAGCTCTAGGATGTAGTTATGCGTAAGCAATACTACGCCGTATTAACACGCGCTGATGTAAAGCCGATCTGTCTGCTGGGTCATCCCCTCGTATTGGCGTTGCCAGACACGGCGGCACCGCGCGGGTAAACACAGCGAGCGATTGTGTAAATACAGGTGACAGCCGAGTGTACTCAGGTGTACGGGGAATACTTTCCCACCTGCGTGTTCATACGCTGAAAGAAATACAGAGAGTGGGGTAGAGAGTGGGGAAGTGGGGTGGAGAGTGGGGGAAAGGAGTATAGTGCAGCAGATATGTGTATAATATCAGAAGGATTGTGCATTTTGTGGTAAAAGCACCAAATTTGGT